CTTACTTTACTTACGTCCGTTTCCTTTTCTTCGTTCTTTCTTCTACTTGTACTACTCTACTACTACGTACTTACTATCGTCTCTCGTCTACGTATACTACAACGAACACGACTACTACTATACTCTCTCTCTCTCTCTCTCTCTCTCTCTCTCTCTCTCTTGTTAATTTTATATGGTGTTTTAAACCAACTTTCTCAGTTTGGGATTTTGGGTTTGAAAGCACAAAGAACTTTGCCTCTGTGTAATCCACACACAAGTTTAAATCGATGCATTGCCTCTGTTGTTGGTCTAGTTTAGGATTGCTTTTAAACTGTTATACTCAAGTTTCACCACCCAAATTCATTGACAGAAGTTAGAAAGAGAAATTTCCTTTTACTGCTTTTGATAACAGTAAACAAGTTGTACCCATTTTTTTTTTTTCCATGGATAAGGTCTCAACCAATCCCATACCATTTGAATCCCTTTTTCCGGTACGTCCCCATCCATCAACCACTCTCACCTTGCTTCCATGTTGTCAGTAGCAGATTGATTATAGAGCTCTAACTTCTATAAATACCCAATTTCCCATTGAATCAAAGACCTGTTTGAAACTTTAGAGAGAAAAACTATGTTTTACAATTTTTGGTCATGGTTAACTGAAACATAGCAGTTTTCAGTGCTTTTTCCCCAAACTTCAGCCCTGAGTATGAAAATCGAGTCCTAAACCAAAAGCAACCGAAAGGCAAATACGTTTGGTCCCCTGTATTCTCTAGAAGCTTCTTGTGGAGTGTAATTCTGCGAAGGCTCAGGTTGCATCTTAGAGCTACTAAGTCGAGGATGATTAGTTCCATGATTAATACCTTGAAGATAGCGAGAGCATCTCGTGCCATGGATTCCACAATTAAAGCACTTCCAAAATTGTTTCCGAAAGTTATACAACCTCTCCGTTTGTTGTTGTGTTTGCAGGGAAGTTAAGTTCTGTGATGCTGTGTTTACTGCAGTAAATTTATGAATATTTGAGTGAAATTTGCATTCAAATGATTTCGTCATTTTTCTGCAATTTCTTGCAGAATTGTTGGTTTTTCTGTGGTTAAGAAAGCGATTTCTTCCCACGGTTAGGAGAAAATTCACATTCAGGCAGCTAAAGGGTTATAATGATTTTCAGAAGAGCAAGGAACTGGTTTTCAAGTTTGACGTTGCAAACATTTTAAATTTTAGGCACTAAATGTTCTGTTCTTTTTGCTGCAGTTTGGCTAACAGTCACAGTTTTTGGCCTCAGTGTCAATGAAGCTTTAGCACATTGGCCGCAGTTAAATCGAGGCAAACTATTTCGCCTCGACTTGCACACTACGCTTTTTGCCACAGTTAAGCTGAAGATTCTTTTCTGGCCATGTTTAACTACCAATCAGTATTTCTTGCCATGGATAAGTCTTCTTCACACAGTTAAGACTGACATCTTTTTTAATGAGCCTTACAGGATCTCTGAGCTAACCTCGCTCTCTCTCTCATGGAATTTAGTTGCAACGGCTAGAAATATGTTAGGGCCATTTGTATGACTTCATATTTTGCACACTCTTCAACCCAAAGATCGATCTCAAAAAGGAAAGGATTGAATTCGTGCCCTTGAAAAGGTCCAATGAGCTCTGCTCTAGCAATTAATGTAATTCCGTTCATCATGTGGACATTTATATCCAGCTCCTTAAGAGCTAAAAAGAGTAAATTTCTTTTTTTAATTTTTTTGTTTGGTGATGATGAGGCCATCTACATAATTTGGGGTCAAGAAGTTCCCCTGAAGGCTCAAATCTAATCGTCGCATCAAATGGATGGCCTAAGTTCATTGTATTAAGAAAACCAATTTTAGGGTGTGGTTATGAAAGAAAGTATATATTTAAAATTTAGGGTTAAACAAAAGCCTGTAATATAGTTTTTGTGATTTCATTACATTATTGTGAAATCGTGTACTGTCTCTTATAGGAGCACAATAAACATTTACTTGGAAGAAATACCTAATACGAGGAATTTTGTGATCTGAAATTTAGGGATCCAC